GATGTTTTCTGTTCATTGAAACCTATCTGGAGTGAAGTTAAGTGACTCAGAAAGTTGTATGGTTTATGGAGGTTTATCTTTTTACATGTTTCAAACATATTCCGAAATCAGAGACTATTAATTTGGTTTCCCTCTGTCTGTCCATTTACACATGTTTGCCTCCAGAGTCATTTCTCAGACATGCTTTGACCGATCACATTCAAACTTTTTCAAACATTCTTGTTTACAGATGGAAGACCCGCACCACAGACTGAACGTCAACGTTATAATCTAGAGAGAAGAAGGAAAATAGCGGTATGTGCTCTGTATTATCTCTGTTCATTTAATCTGAATGATAGATGAGAAAATGGTGACCAGATTTAAGGATGCTAATCGCCTTCCACTGCAATGCTGCATGTTCTTGGAGTGTTCCACAAAATCAACAATTGTTAAAAATCCAAATATGAATAAGTACTTGATTTTCCTATCATATACAATCATGATCATTATAGTTTCATGCAAATTAACTCAATCGTAGGTTTATTCATATCAAAGTGTTTGTTACAATACATTTTTCCAAATTTTTCTGCACTTTCTTTCTCATATTTTTTCAATATTCTTGGTAATGAACCTTAATTTTGCAACCAATAGACAAAATTTGAGTCAATTTTCAGTTATCAGTCAAAATATTTGGCTATTTGCAGACTATAACTGGGACTATTTTGTGAATTTGTGATGAAAAGAGGGAACTGGTGAAAATGTTATAGGAGGACAATAGTGTACATGAGATGTTAGCAAGCATAAATAACACATTCAGGGTTAACATTTGTATCACAGATGAGCAGAATTCCAAGGTGTCATCTCCCACCTTACATCTATCAGCAAGAATTCATAAATGTACATCATATTTGAGATCAACTAGAATTGTGTTGACTAGCATTCATTGTAAACCTTCAATTCTACAAGGACAAGTTATTGCTCAAGATTACATTATTCTTGGTTTATAAAATTAACAAGGTTTGATGTGGTTACTACTTGTGTGTTTCAATCCAGGAACGAATTGATGTCTTTGCAAGGGAACTTGTTCAAGCTAAAAAAGAACATGCGGCAAAACAAGAAGAAATTCAAATCACAGAAGAAAATGTGAAGAAGAGTCGGCTACGACCCAAGGGAACACCATGGAAAACAAAGAAAGATACAGCAGAAATGAGCTAATAATAAATATCAGATTTACATATTCATAGTTATAGTTTTTTTTATTTGTCAAGATGTTTGAGTTGAATGACACCACATTAATGTATTCAAATCATTTAGAAAACTTATATACATATCTATGTATGTAACGTCTCAAGCCCAGGAATGACTGAAATTAACCTATTAAACAGTACATCGCATAATATTTCCAACTACAGCTTTGTGTAAGCTAAGCTCAACTATACTATGTACACAAAAAAAACAATTAAGAAGATGTTAGGAAGGTATAGTTATGACATTCAAAGCTTTTTCAGTCAAGACCGTGTTGATAGCACATATACATGTACTTCTAGTATACGATACAGTATATTATCAATATCAACTTTATTGACTAAGATAAAATCACTAAAATGGTAACAAAGAATAACAAAATAATAAACTAAGATGAAATCACTAAAATGCTGACAAAATTTGAAAATCAAAATTGTTCTTGAGAAAAGGTGAAAAAAAAATTGTTTTTTGGCTAAAAAGCATGCTTAAAAAACACAAAAAAAAAATTTACTTTCAAATTTAAGTAAATAGAGAATGTTAGGTTGTCTGGAAGGGTTTTTGTCTTACATTTAGGCTAATTTTGAGGATTTTTGCAACTATGTTGCACATTTCATTATTGATCATTGATTTGGGGTCATATGAGTTAGGTTTGTTTCATTCATAGAAACTGATTCAAATAATAATTTTCTTTGTTAATGAATAATAATTTTCCATGATGCATTGACTTAGAATAAATTCTGTGATTAAATCAAGGAATACAAATAAGTAAAAAAAAGCAGTCTGCTGAATCATCTGAATCTGTTTCACAAGCAATAAATGACAACAGACAACACAATGAGAAGAATCTTCTTATAATTACACCATTACTGTATATTTACAGCATTTTAACAATGTCATTTCTTCCGGCTTTATTCAAGGCTTTGGCAAGAGCATTATGTGTGGCTCCTTTACCTTTACGCTGACGCCATTTGTTCAACATC